AATGAGAATACCTCATCTTTGTAATCAGAAAATAATAACTACTACTTACAAAATGTCTATTCAGAAGCAAAATCTTACCAGAGGAGGAAGTTTTCCTTCCATTAAAAGCAAAGTATCTCCAGAAGATATCATAAGCTCTTTCAGTGTTGCATCCTGGGAATATAGAAATTCTTTTTTGTCACTTATGACTTCTGAAAGGAACAAACAGAGCATTGGACCTTTTTTAACCCTATGCCTCTATTACCTTTTCAAAAAATAAATGAATAATAAAGCAGATGTTGAAGACATAGGAAATTAGTTAAGACTAGCAGTATAGCATTATATATTAAATTGTAGGGTTTAAGCTGTAAGTATCATAAAAGATCTGAGGAAAGGGAGATGGATGAGATGAGAAACGATGAGAGACTGATTTATGGAAGATGAAATTTTAGTTAAGCCTAAAAAGGTTGGATTTAGAAATCTAGAGGAAATAAGAGAAGAGAAGGAATTTCTCATGGAAAAAAAGAACAGGAGCAAAGTCCAGGTTGATAGTGTTTTGGCTTGTTTTGTAAAGAGTTAAGAGACTAGACTGACTAGAATGGGAAGCACCAGTGGGAGAGCAGCAGGAAATAAAGCTGGACTGGAAGTGTAGCTGCAAACCCAAGGGATGTGGAGTAGAAATAAAGGAGCCAGGCAAGATGTCTGAGGTTTTTTTAAAGATCAGCTGGGCTGCTCCATGCATGACATACTGAAGTGGGACACACCTGCGCCCAGGGGAAGCCGCTGTGGTATAATTTAGGTAAGGGGCAAAAGAAGGCTTGAACCCAGAGTTCAGCAGTGGGAATGGCCAGGAAAGGAGTGGAAAAGCTGACAGGCCTTTGGAGGCAGAAAGGAAATACGAAGAACCAAAAGTAAGCAGGGTAAGGCGTGTTTTAGTGTGAAAGATTAGGGTGGGAAAGGCAGATGGCAAATCTGGAAAGAGAAGCCAGTTTTGAGGCTAATGAGTTTGCTTTTAGATGAGTCGTTTGATGCTGATTTGGGAATCAGGGAAGAAAATGCTGAAGCGATTTGAGTAAACGTATTCTTCTGACAGCCACACTGTATGTCCTGAAGATTCTCTGAGGTCCACTTCTTGTCCCAGGCAAACTCCTTGAGTCAAGGCTCAAAAGGAGCCTGTTTCTGTTGACTTACTGATTGCTAGACAGCAGACAGTGTTCCAAGGGAAGGCCCCAGCACACTTGCAATCAACCTTTTGTTGACATTCAATGCCACTGTCTTACTGAACAGAAAGCAGGCAGGTAAAGACGGGGGGAAGGGCAGCTGACCACACCTGTCCAAGCTTTCTCACAAAGCTTCACTTTGGGTCTGCTTCTAAGGCCATGGGTTTAGACTGGGAGGTTTGATGGTTTGATGCTATCTGGACCAACAATAAGAAGACTAACCAGATTCCAACTATCCTGTGATAAAATTATTCCTAAGGCTACCCTAAGAGCTTGGCTGATCTAGAGTTTGGAACAGAGCCTAAGTGATTGCTTGGTAAGATTAATTCTACCATCATTAACTTAGAGAAACTCTGAGATTAAAATATTCGGGGGTTAAAAATTCAGAATGTATCTGCAAATTCTTTCATTAGTTCAAATGTTTATTCTCTGAAGTTCTCTGCCTTCTAATGAACTACTCCTCCCAGGGACATGTCCTCACACTCATCAGAAGGGGATTTATCACAGATATTAGAAATGTTCCCACCTAGCTGACACATTCCCTCTATCAAAAAACTACAGTAAGAAAAAGTGAAAATAGACCCATTCATAGATGTTTGTATCCTGTAGAAAGTAATTAAAGCTTTCTCATGAG